CTTGGCGGTTTCCCTGTCCGCCAACCCCCTGTGCGCCCGGTCCTTGGCCTCCCATGGCCTGGCCCCTTTGGCCCTGGCCTCCTCCTCTACCTTGCGGCCTCCCTCCGGCCGCGACAGTTGCGCGAGACCTCCCCTGCCCTACACAACTGTACTCCTCCCCTAGGCCCCACTCAATCTGATCATATGGGACCTCTTCTGTACCACCCTCCTCTAATGTCAGGATCAAGTGACCCTTGGCCTTGACTTGGCCCGAGATGGTACGATCTTTCGACTTCTTCCCCTTCTCCAGGTCCTTATGCCAAAAAGTTGTAACTGGCATAGACTTCGACTCATACAGGACGACTTCTCTACTCAATACATCGTAAGTCATGCCGGCCTGCTGAGACTTGTCGAAGAAATGCCCGCGTAGGGCCTCTGGGATGGCACGATAAAACAACTGGACCAACTGGGGCTCGGTGACCCCGTGGTCCGCGACAGCTACCAAGTCGTCCATGGTACCCTTGAGTGCCTTGGCAGTCCTCCACTGTCGGGAGTGGATCGTTTGGAGCTTATCAGAGGCTCTAATGCCTCGCGTTGGGTCAGTGAACCGCTCCTTGAGGAGCTTGAGGACTTGGGAAAGAGGAGCGACTTTGGAATATGCAACCAGGTTGTTTTCACAACCGGCTGTACGCGCAAGAGACCTGGCGAAGCTAGCCGCTTCATCTTTGAGGGCCTGGAAGGCCACAAGGACTTGTTCCTCGGCCAAGATATGTTGCAAGTAAATATACCTATTGACACTGGCTTCCCAATTGTCAAAGTTTTCTTCCTTCTTTCCCCCGTACGCATCCGRAAACTTAAGCTTCACTGGGTCCTTACGGGGCCTGGCCTCTCCCTCTGCGGCTGCTACAGCTTTGGCACCCTGAATGGCGCCCTCACAAAACTTCCCGACATTGTCTCTCAACTGTTTGACTTCGCCCCCAATATGGGTGATGATCTCGCGCGCAAAGTCTCTAAACCCTGACCGCATGGCACTCAAGGCTACATCTTGGCTCCAACTTGCCTGGCGCTCTTCCATCCAGGCCTTGCTCAACACCTCTAGATAGCCCAGTACCTTGTCCCACTTGGCCTTATCATCTGGCTGGGCCAGCATCTCCGCTCTACACTCCTACACCTTTGCCACTGCGGCGGTCATCTTATTCACTTCCTCTCTCCTCCTCTTCTTGTCCCTCTTCATTCTCAACTTCCATGCTAACTTTTGCTCGTCTTCCCTCTCTCTTCGTTCCATTGGGTCTGTCATGGCCGCTAGTTCAGCGGCCAGCGCAGCCTTCTCATCCTTAGTCACATAGAACTCCGCCTCCTCGTCTTCTCCCAACGGTAAATTAGCGACCCACTCGCTGATCCTCTTCTCCAGCCCTGTATCTGTCTCCCTCCTCATCGTGCCACCACTACTCCCTTCTCCACTCTCAATCCTCATCCTCTCTTTCTCTTCTTCTGCTGCCGCTTCTGCTTCAGCAGCTTTTCTTCTTTCTTCCTCCTCTTGTTGTACTTTCTTCATCTCCTCCTCCAATCTCTTCATCTTCGCCGCCTGTTCGTCTGCGATAGCCTTTAGCTTCGCTTGCTTCTCACGCTCTTT